ATTAGCTAGTTTTGGCATATAACTCAGATGCCACGTGCATACCCAACACGCCACCCAGAATCATTGATGTAGCATTGTTTGCATGTCCCATTTCTAACCAAAAAATATTGATACTGCTGCACTGACATTTAGGAAATTTGCCAGAGATATTAATATGTGCTTTATCAGAGGAACATAAATGACAACATATCTAAAGCATCTAAAGAGTGTAGGTGAGTCAGGGGACCACCAGCATCTGGACGTGACATATTTATGTCAAAGCCATGCCATTGACTTCTAAATCAGCACCCGATTCAATGCATTTATGCAATGTTTTGGCTCCAGTGTTGGCAGTTTCAGTCACTGATTTGAAAGATACCGTTCTTTGCTTTTGTTTGAAGTGACTGACACAATACAAACTGCTATTAAAGTCTATATTTCTGCTACGCAGTTTAAACAGACCACAGAACAAAAGAGGTTCAACAGTATGAATTTCTTTCCAATCACAGCCGTTTAATCTTAGCAGGGATTTTCTTCCTTTTGAATTCAACAGTTTAAAGTTACATTCTGAAGTGTTCTTTTATTCTCTAGGGCTGTTTTACAGTCACATATTTTCAGTGAGATAAAAGCTCGGACAAGCAGCCACTGGTCAGTCATCAAATCTGCAATCCACCTAATCCATAATGATTCAGCAAGATGTTGCAAGGCTTTTTCCATTACATAACGCAGGTATAATTAATTAAAAACCTCCTCAGGGAGTATCGACTTATAATGATTCGATCCCAGTTCAGCAAGTTTAGAAGATCAGCTCAGCTTATCCTGTAAATTTGTCGTAACTTGCAAAATCTAAAAAAAAAGAAATGTTCCAGGGGAACTCATTTGGCCTCAATCATAAAGCACTCAATGGTGCACTATTTTTGGACCAATATCAGAAAAATGTTTGTAGAGTTTGCAAATTCAAAAGTGTCTGCTTAAAGGGGTCATGTGATGTTGCTAAAAAGAACATTATTTTGTGTATTTGGTGTAATGAAATGTGTTTATGCGGTTTAGGGTTCAAAAAACACATTATTTTCCACAATGTACATTATTGTTTTTTCCTTTATGCCCCGCCTTTCTGAAATGCGTAGATTTTTACAAAGCTCATCGGTCTGAAAAGCGAGGTGTGCTCTGATTGGCCGAATACCTCAAGCGTGTGACGGAAATGTTACGCCCCTTACCATACTGTGATGCCCTGTCAGGCCGGAGCGTAACATAAAACCATGTCTGCATTTGTGATCGGAGAAATGACAAACAACAAGCACTACTCTACACTGCCCAAAACTCGCGTTTGAATCATCAGTGGCAAATTCTTTAAATATAAAAAATTTACTTACAGTCTGTGAGTCAGAACAGCCGGCATTGTAGTCTACTCTACCAGGATCAGGAAACAGTCCTCCATAAAATGTGCTGCACACATCTGAATATTTGGGTTGAAGTGTTCTGGAACAGTGTTGTAAATACAACTTAACCACTGTTTTCTAGTCGTGTCCTCTTTTGGAAGGCCAAACAAAGTAGTTTCGCTTTCACAACGAAACACAGTGTCACACGCGGCGGCGGTGGCGGCCTAGAGTGAGCGGAGGCCGGCGGCTAGAGTGAGGAACGGCCAGCGGGCTGAGTGAGAGGGGGCCGGTGAGCTTGAGAACGGCGCGGCCAGCGGATTCGACGAAGGAACGTCCGGCGAGCTTGCGGCAACCACATGTGATGACCCCGGGCTGGACTCCGCTTCGTCCACAGTGAAACAAAATTACATCAATATGTCAGACACCTCCCGGCTGGATATTTCACAGAATGTTCTGTAGCAGACATATGTCTAGACGAGCACAATAATTGTGCAAATCCCAACGCTACCTCTATATTGTATTGCATAATCAGGACACATGCTGTACATGATGTGTTACAGCACATGTGGATGAGTGTCATATTTCCTTTGGGACAATTAGACATGTCAGCACTCTATTGTACTCATTTGGCCTCAAACTGCAGGGCAGTCGTGCCCTAATGGTTAGAGAGTCGGACTTGTAACCCAAAGCTTGTGGGTTCGAGTCTTGGCCAGATCTCTCTTCCACCCTCAATACCACGACTGAGGTGAGACCCTTGAGCAAGGCACCGAACCCCCAACTGCTCCCCAGGCAAAGCAGCAAAAATGGGGGATGTAGACTGTTTGGCTAAATCCATTAGCTAATGGCCTCAAACTGCGGGGCAGTCGTGCCCTGATGGTTAGAGAGTCGGACTTGTAACCCAAAGCTTGTGGGTTCGAGTCTTGGCGAGACCCTTGAGCAAGGCACCGAACCCCCAACTGCTCCCCGGGCGCAGCAGCAAAAATGATCAAAAGTGAGTGTTGATCAGACATTTACATTTACAGTCACAAAAATATTTTGAATAATTGCTGTTCTTTTGAACTTTCTAGTCATCAATGAATCCTGACAAAAAAAATCTAGCATGGTTTACACAAAAAATATTAAGCTGCATAACTGTTTTCAACATTTTAAGAAATAATAAGAAATGTTTATTGAGCAGCAAATCAGAATATTAGAAATAATTTCTGAAGGATCATGTGACACTGAAGACTGGAGTAATGATGCTGAAAATTCCATTTCGTCATCACAGACAACATAAATTACATTTTAAAATATATTCCAATCGAAAATTTGTTTTAAATTATAATAACTTTTTACAATATTATTGTTTTAATTGTATTTTTGATCAATAGAAATTAACATCAACTAATGAATAAATGCTGTAGAAGTATTATTCATTGTTAGTTCATAACACCAATTGCTTTAACTAGTGTAAACAAATGTACAAGTTACCAAAATACTTCCCAAAAATGACATATGATTATCAGTGGAATAATCATAAATTCTTGCCATGAAGTTTCTTTTAACTGACATTATCAAGACATTATTCCAATACAACAAAAATATCAGTTCATTCAGTAGGATCTTACAGCAATCTTAAAGAGGATTTTTATTTTTTCCAAATAGAGCTAGACATTCCAATGGGAATCATGTACACATTCCTTTAGGATTTTGTGTGATTATGCTCTCAAGAGTGCTGATTACATGATCATGGCATGTGCCGTGAAAAGTTGTGTACAACAGTATTTTCACAAGAGGGGTTTGGAAAAGAGAAGGATTTTCTTTTTCTCCACTTCAAAACTCTATTCGTAAACACAAAACAATGTGTCAACTCAGTAGTACTTCATTAAGAAGAATACAATACAAATACATTTACATTTATTCATTTGGCAGATGCTTTTATCCAAAGCGACTTACAGTTAGAAATACAACAAGCGAAGTGCCAATTATACAAAGTTTCAGTCATCGTTCAAAACATTAAAAGCTAGGAAAGGAAGGGATAAAGGATAATAAGAGAATAGAAAAAGTGAAGGCATATCATTTTTATTATTGTATTATTATATATATTTTATTATTATAATATTTATTTTTTTAAGAGGAGGCAGTTAGATGCTCACGGAAGAGATGAGTTTTCAGTTGTTTGTTGCAGATTGTGAGGCATTCGGCTGTCCGGATGGAGTAATACAATTCTCATTTTCTTTATTAGGACTGTCAACCACAAGACTGAACCCTTACAGTAACACATTCAGTCAAACTGTTACTCCAAATCAACAGAGAACTGCCTTAATACATTTCAAACCAGTACGAAGGGGTTCTTTCTACAGTTAAAGAGGTGAATGACTCAAATAACAGCGAATCTATCTATTTGAACAGTTGACAGATAAACAAGGAAAGGAAGCGGCTGCACACCCACACACTGTTATATAGTCATTCCTCTGTGTTGATTCAAGCGCAGGTGAGAGATGGCCGAACCTCACAAAGCTCTGACGGGAATGTTGACGTCACTTCTGACAAGGACGAGAGACAAGTTTACTCCGGCAAAATAAGGCTGAGAGCCTCTCGAACTCTGAGGAACCAAATTATATCATTTTAAACATCTTACAACATAAAAACCAGTAACAATTTATTCTACAGTATCCCTGTTACATGTACTTACTATTGTAATAACAGTAAATTATGTATAATTACATGCAAAACCCCTAAACCAAACTTTAATCCTAACCTCAACCCTACCTTAAGAACATGCTGTTAATTAACATTACTCAGTATTTAAAGAGATAGTTCACCAAAAAATGAAAAGGGTTTTCTTACCCTCAAGTCGTTTCAAACCTGTATCAGTTTCTTTCTTCAGCTGAACACAAAATAAGATATTTTGAAGAATGTGGGTAACCAAACAGTTTGTGGTAGCCACTGACTATTTTTCCCCCACTATGGAAATCAATGGCTACCAGACACATTCTTCAAAATATCTTCTTTTGTGTTCAACATATGGAAATTAACTCATACAGGTTTGGATAGGACATTAAGGTGAGTAAATTATGACAAAAATTTAATTTTTGGGTGAACTATCCCTTTAAACCACTTTAAACAAGGACACCGGAAACTAAAGTGCAATAAAAATTAAAAAAACTGTTGAAAGTCAAGTTCTTAAGTTGAAAGTCACAATGGTCATTTTGCAACTGACACAACACATTTGCGTCTACCGGGTTTAACACTTACAAGAGCATTCGAAACCACAAGGTTGACCATATTAACTTAACAAGCTTAAAAGATTAACTAGCCTAGGAGAATGCAATGAGAAAATGTGCAAAAGAGTGACGTTGATTGTGGTACTGTGTAAAGGAAAAGCAGCCACATTTGTTTAAGGATGCCCAATCCAGGTTAACACTATGACCCTCGTGGTTTTACCCAAACAGAGTTTGACCCAGACAAAACAAAGTCAAGATGTAGCCACAGCACTACTGTTGTTCTTTTAAACAGACATCAACAACGTTTGACTTCAAATAAGCTTCAATTGCAGGCAATGCCAGCACGTTTCTACCTCCCATCCTACTTTCTTTTTCAAAACAACACACGTTTCTTCATGCACGCTTGCGCTTGTGCATCTGCTGCTCTTCAACTCACCGGTGCTGGGCATGCTGGTGCTTCTGGACTGAGAAAGCAGCTCCACGTGTCGCTCTCTGCCGGACGTGCTGTCTGAAGAGAAGCAGGATTCGGTCTCATAGATTGTCTGCAACATCGCACACAGTCCCGGTACGGTTGGCTTCAAAAGCATGCCAGTCTCGAAATATCGCCACTCAATTAATGCAAAAACAAATTAACATGGAAAAGGAGATGCCAGCCCACTCTCCATCCAAAAAAGTCAAATGTGCAAACACATTTGAAGGAAGAGGGGAAAAAAGCACCACTTCCTTTATCAAAAGGTACATGCATGCAAAGAATCGAAAATCGCTTTGCCCGTTAGTTCCATGGTTCAAAAAAATTATTATAATTTTTTTCAATAAACAAATGCAATCAGAACAGGTATCCGTGAAAGAAAACACTGTAGACAAATCCTCAAACTGTCCACTCAAACTAGCAGCTTTACGGCCCCACAAACGAGTCTATTCATACACCACATCACCTTCTTGTCTAATTGTCGATGTCAGAAACAAGCTGCTAATTCACACCGACAAGTCCAAATGTGGCTTGTATCCAAGACCCCGGTCTGAGCGTGCCCGTATCCTGCAAACGTCTGAAGTCACGCATGTGGTATCGGCGGACTCCAAAAGAGCGACTTCCCCATGACGAGATGCGACGGGATGAGATGAAAGCGACAGAACCGGAGAGACGATCACTAAGTAGATCACTGGGAGACTTTTGCCTGCCAGTCCCTATGTTCCTTCCTTCCCCTCGCCTCTCCGTACAAGTCCTCGCTTACAGCACAGCACACAAGTCACTCTCCTGATGAATGGGCTTAAACTGAACCATCCGACTGTTCCGTTTAGTGCGATTGTGTTGCTTTTGTATAATTGTTCAAAGCCGAATCTCTGCACCCTCACCCGGTGGGTGAGGCGAACGGGAGAGCAGAGGTATAGAGACGTGGAGTTTACAAACAGACTGGAGCTGCTTCAGGCTGCTGGAAATAGCTGGCGAGCGACAGGGGAGGGGCGGGACTGTGCTATAAATAGAGTCGGGAGCTGAGAGCTCGCTCGGAGAAAGAGAGAGAGAGGAGGGGGGTAAGAGAGAGAGAGATGGAAGATGGAAGAGAGGGGATGGTCGATTGTTTATCATGTAAATAAAGGAGTCAAAAAAGAAGCCAATGAATCAGACACAAGACCGTGACAGGACTGGAGGAGTGAGACCAAACTGAGTTTAACTCGATAATACGAGTCAGCACGAAGGCAAACGAGATACAAAACAACACGAGCGCTGCTAGGTTTGTGCCAATGCACGCTATAATGAATGGAACTAATTCATGCGTTTGAAACACAAGCGTTTAAATCTACGCTTTTAGTACAGAGGACTGCTTCCTTCATACAGAAGGAATCTGCGTCAGCACTATTGACACAGAGAACACAAGGGTAACCGTTTCACAAGCGCATGTGGGTCAAAAGACTAGGGCGGCCAATGCAGCATTACCAAACCTGTGATATGTCAAGCGCTGTAATCTCACTCTATTTATCATTCAAAGCAAAAACAACTCAAAAAGTGAATTGCGACAAATAAACTGTAAAATAAGTAGTGAATAAAATAAAGGAAAAATGTGTAAAAATTGTTCAAACTGTATTAAAAAAAAAAAAAGACAACTGAAACTTTTCAAAAATATATTTAATTATATGATACATTTAATTTATTAGCTCATTATGTATTAATACAAATAAAACTTAATAAAATATTAAAAAACAAAAATATGTATTAATAATAAACTAAATATGTTTATATGTATTACATTTTTCAATAAATAAATACAATTATATAAACTGCACTGAAATTCAATTTAAAATAAATACTTAAACATTTATTTAGCAAAATAAATGTAATACAATAGAATTATTTAATGAAGTGTGCAAAATGCAAGTTTTCAAGTTTTAACAGCCTTGAATAAATAAAAACAAAAAATTTAGTAAAATTAAAAATATATATTTTTTTAAATATTAGAAATAAATATTTAAACATTTAGTAAACTAAATTTTGTATATTATTACCATTTTATCTAATGAAAATGAACAGACATTGAATTAAATGTTTTTATATATATTAAATGTAATATGTGGCTCCTGTGTTGTTGAAAGGCAATTTTCTAATTGATAATGAAGACTTGCACCATTTCAATATTTAAAAAGACCACAATGATGTTTGGAGGTGAATTTAAATCAGCAATGCACTAAATCTTTGTTATGTTAGGTGTGGGGGCAGCATAATGCATCCATTGTGAATTGCACCATTGATTTCATACCCTCTGGGTTGATATATGACAAGGTTATCGGGCATCGATGTTCCACATCAGTTTATGGACCCACTGCCTAATGCATGCTCATCGAATTTATTATCCAAGACGGACTGACCTGTTGCACAAGCACAAAGCTCAAAGACGTGTCAAGACTAAATAAAGAGGAAGAATCAAATCTGAGACCACTCAGTTTTCTTACAATGATGGCTAAACATTTCATGCAAGGAAAGTTGGTCCCAGACCAATATTAAAGGGCAAGATTTATCTAGAACACCTAAATTAGACCTCTAACGTGTTTTTCTTAGAGCAGTCTGTCACTATGACCACTAGTGTGTTGGAGAATTAAAATGGATTTGGCTCAAGAGCAGGCAACAATCAAAGAGAAGCTTTGACAAGCACTTGTTTGAAAAAAAGACATTTAAAAACATCATGGAACAGATGTGCATGTACCCAGCATCTCCAATCATTGCCTGGCCATAGGAGGGCTAATACAGGTTGTGTGTGTCTATTTACTCAGGCGAAATCAAAGCACTTCAACATTAAATGTTTTGGCACCCATAGCAGGGCTAATACATCATTTGTACCAGGACTGAAAATAGAAACAAGTTTTGTGAGGCATGATTTGCCCATGAGCAATCGACAGCATGCAGCATGATAAAAAAAACAAAAAATGATATAAATATATATATTAAAACATTTATTTAATAAAACAAATGTAATATTTTATTATTCTAATGAAGTACGCAAAAATGCAATTAAAAGCCATTTTTTATTTTTAATTACGATTTTGAAGTAAATAAATGCATAATGGATTTAAAATAAATATTTAAACATTTAATACATTTGTAATACTATCATTTTTGTTATCTAATGATTGTGCAAAAAATGCATTTAAAAAGGCATTACATTTCCATATTTGATTTTTTTTATTTGTAATTTTTAAATAAAAATTAATCAAATTTAAAATAAATATTTAAACCTTTATTAACACAAATGTAACATATTAATTATTAATTATTATTATCATTATCTAATGAAGTGTGCAAAAAAAAAAAATGCATTTAAAACACATTCAATTTAAATGCTCAAATAAAAAATTGTACCTAAATTTTTTGCACCTAATAAATCATATTAAAAATAAATATTTAAACATTTAATACAACAAATTCAATGCATTAAATAATTAAATTAATACATACGAGTTTATATATATGTGTGTGTGTGTGTGTGTGTGTGTGTGTGTGTGTGCAGCGCATGCTTGCATCTTGAAAACCGCTTGGACTCTGCACTTGTAAGTTACAATGCATAATGGATTTAAAATAAATATTTAAACATTTAATACATTTGTAATACTATCATTTTTGTTATCTAATGATTGTGCAAAAAATGCATTTAAAAAGGCATTACATTTCCATATTTGATTTTTTTTATTTGTAATTTTTAAATAAAAATTAATCAAATTTAAAATAAATATTTAAACCTTTATTAACACAAATGTAACATATTAATTATTAATTATTATTATCATTATCTAATGAAGTGTGCAAAAAAAAAAAATGCATTTAAAACACATTCAATTTAAATGCTCAAATAAAAAATTGTACCTAAATTTTTTGCACCTAATAAATCATATTAAAAATAAATATTTAAACATTTAATACAACAAATTCAATGCATTAAATAATTAAATTAATACATACGAGTTTATATATATGTGTGTGTGTGTGTGTGTGTGTGTGTGTGTGTGTGTGTGTGTGTGTGTGTGTGTGTGCAGCGCATGCTTGCATCTTGAAAACCGCTTGGACTCTGCACTTGTTGCTCTTTAAGTTACAAGCATGCTTAACTATCTGTCCCAGAGCTGCATGGACGTCAAACATTTTACATAGTCTTTTCAACTTCAGTCTGGTCTGTTGGCTTTAGTGTCCAGCCGCCCCTGTTATTTATAGGTGGATGTACCTTTTGGGCTTTCTGACGTTAGTTGGGCTTATATTTAGCCATGGGAAGGTGGGGGGAGCGCACCACTTGTTTTTTAAGCCCTTTTTTCAGCAAGTGATGAACTCATGTTGGTAATGTCAAGGACTTTGGCAGCAGACTTTGTTTGACAGCTAGTCTCTCGCCTTTAGCCAGACCTGACCCAATTAAGGCCAACCCAAAGCAAGCCGTAACCTTTCACCACCGGGTTCTGAAGGAATCTTGGACGCTGGAGAAGAATGGTAAATAAATGTGGCCATTCCTCACTGTGGCTGCGGACAGATGGGCTAAATGTGCGCTGAAGCTTCTGGAGCATGTGAACTCTCTTTCTCTCTCTCCCAGCCTAAATAACATTGACTATATTAGCTCACACTTACGAGCCCACAAAAATAGTCTCGGTTTGGATGGGATTAATTAAAACAAAGCCAAGAAAAACACAGCGGTTTCTCACACAGATAACCAACTCTCTTACCGAGGACTGCCCTGTGACCGCTGCCATGTTAGGAAAATGTATTTTAAGTATGCTAAGGCAAGCATCACTATTACTGTAGGGTTAGCGGTTTGTTCTAAATCCCCAAAACCTAAATATTCAAGTTTTACATTTATTCGGTTAGGTTTGCAAATGACAAAACTCATCACACACTGTGCGGATTGTAGAGAAGAGGTGTGATATTTTCAAAGTGACCTGGCTAAAAACTTTCACTTTGGTTGACTATAAAATGGGTGAAAAATACCAAAAGACAGAGCAGAGATACGTATAACGGTGGGGGGGGGGGGGGGAAAAAACAAAAAAAAAAAAA